TTTTTCATCATCGATTATTTCATCAATACAACTATTAGAATAATGCAGTTTATATCTGTAAGCCACTCTCATCACACTATTAGATATCTCAATTAATTCATAAATGGTCATATTGTATACGTCTGACACTAATACAAAGGTCGAATCATGTTTGTCACATCAATTATACCATCGATATGACAGATCAATACCTATTACTACTCTTTATTGTTGATTTGTTACGTGCACATTTTAATTTTAAAAAATAATCAGTGATTACATTATTAGGAACTTTAACAAATTTATATTAGTTTTTTCCAATATTTATGAAAGCATTGAAATATTGTATTGACAGTCAAACTGATATTCTTCATACTGTTCAACTCTGTTTTTATTGTTAAATAAAGTTGAAGTTTTTTATGCCCGGTTGCTGAGGTCTATAATGAGGGGGGGGGGCGGGGGAAGGTCTCTGTAATAGGGGGTATGTCTGTAATGTTCTCTTTCCCGTTGCTATGTGTCTGTAATGGCGTGGGGAGGGGGAGGGGAGGAGGGAGCCGCCAATCTCGAACTGAAAATTTACACTCACTATTTTCTTCGAAAACATACGTGAGTCCCACAAAAGAAAGAGAAAACAACATGTAACATTCGGAATGTGCTGTGTAGAAGATGTGTTATATTGTGGACCAAATGTTTCATGATAGCGAATCTTCACTTTGTGTCTCAGGATCACGAATGATCCATTTGATTATTCTTCATTACTTTATTTTGTATAATAGCTCAACTGGACCTTTCATACTCCATGTCATCTTCCAGAGTGGATGAAGAATTTCTAGGGGTGGTGCATTAGCATTAGTATTAGCATTAGATTAATGCTAACACCAATATTCTTGTTTTCCGTTCCTAAGAAAAAGTATTTGAATTTGTATTGATTAATGTAAGGTTAGACGCAGCCAGCAGCCCTGATTAATTCTAATACTTTTATGTTACAATTTTAATATAAAAGTATTGTAGCTGATATAAATTAATACTATTATAAGCATTAACTTATTATTAGTTACAATGTTTTTATATTAAAATTGTAACACAAAAATAATGGAATTAATCAGGGCTGTTGACTGCGTCTAACCTTACATTAATCAGTACAAATTCAAATACTTTTTCTTAGGAACGGAAAACAAGAATATTGGTGTTAGCATTAATTTAATGCTAATACTAATGCTAATGCACCACCCCTAAGAATTTCCATCACCTTTTTGTTGGAGAACTTCAGAGTTCAATAGAGCTGAAGGTGCTGTTTTCAAAGATAATGTTTTTATTTGCAGTGGGTAAGACCGTAAGAAAGACGCGAAGCAGTCTTCGCAGGCCTCAAAAAACAGATTTTGAGCTGAACACTCTCTAAAATCCGATTTGGATTCGTTTAAAAACGTTTTATTTCATCCAGAGTGTTTTTTTATAGAGACCTGTAGGAAGGTCCTGGACATTCAAAGCCTTCTCTGTAGATGTATTCGAAAAGTGTTCTACTTGGATGAAACTTTTACGCATGATTTTTACAATGGACAATAGTTACAGTTTGTACGCGTGTTCCAGCGAGATTTTTTATTCAAAAATGTGGTTCGATATGATTTTTCTGATCATATCATACCATTTGTAACTTAAAACTTGATGCCCGATGAATCGCTTTTATCTCAACTGCCATACTTGTCAGCCAATTTTACTCTGCTTTTGAATTATAAAGACCAGTTTTAGTAGAAAAAACATTGTTTGAGTTCAAAAGAAAGTAATATTCGTAAATCAGCGCGAAACTAGGACTGTTGATATCTTGTAAATTATTTCCTCGGATTTTGGCTTCAGTTACATGTACGAGATTAGCCCTCAGAGATTTCTGCAAAAATGAATTCCAACCAAAAGCTATTTCGACAGTGTAATTACTCTTTGGGACATAAACAATGGTACTCCTATACCCTTCGAAATAGAACCGGTGTTACGGGCTAGCCCTCACATTATCCAGGTCTTGTTTTCTTTTCTTTTTCTTTTCTACTTTTCTGTCGTTATATGATTTCACTCTTTGTCGTTATGATTACATATATCTTTTTCCTTTGTTGTGTGATATCATCCTTTATTCTTGTATTCGTTTTCTCTTTCTTTCCCTCGATCTATTTACTGATATATATACACGCGTTTCTTCGCATCTCTTTGGTCGTATGTAGTTAGTGGTTAGATGTGTGTGTATTTCGTGATTACAAAATAAAGAGGAGAAAATTCATCTCTAACAACCGGTATTTCATCTGACAGCACATTATAAAATCCCAGCTCCTTTATACCATAAAACTTCACCCAAACCGTGAACGAAGTATCGATGACTCATAAGCACTTTCGGATTTTAAAATGACAGCCCTTTAGGGCGATCCTGTAATCCGACCCACTGCTCTTAATAACCACCAACATCTACCGCATCTTTCCTTACTATCGTGCTTTGCGTTTCCACCTGTCTCATCACTCTTAGAGATCGCACTAACACATTCGGCTCAGTGATCGCGTAACAACCAGAAGTCCGTCGACATCGACGGTCCCCTACAAACAAATATTCCGTCATCAACAACGTACCAACACTTCCAATAATATCGTACACAATGCGCCGATAACTACAGGACAACGCACCTAAAAGACGACTCTTGTCGACGCACTTCGCTACCTAAGCATACTTCCGTATAGTGGGCTTTTAGGATCCAAGGATACATCTTAGAGTGTCACATCAGTACCCAAGAGTACGCCGCTATAGCAGCACTTGAGAACCAGAAAACATTCCCATCTCGTGCGACTTGGGAACCCAAGAGTAACCCCTAATAGTAGGACTTGAGGACCCAAGGGTACTCCCCAATAATAGGACTTGAGGACCCAAGGAAACCCCGAATAGTAAGACTTAATGACCCAAGAGTACCCCCTAATAGTAGGATTTGAGGATCCAAGGGTACTCCCCAATGGTAGGACTTGAGGACCCAAGGGTAACCCCAATAGTAGGACTTGAGTACCCTAAGCTACTGGCTTGATGATGGTAGACACTCACTTTACTGTTCCTAGATCGTCAGCCGGGAACAATAACCTCCCACCCCTAGCTCTAAGACTATGACAAACTACCGTAAAAACATGAGCCAAATCATCGATTTTGAAAGTTCAATTTCCTTTCTTCTCTATTATGTGGCTAATTGCTGAAGTAGTTCTTTGGATGCATGAGGGATCATGAAATCATTCTTAATTTTACCTAAGTTTCGGCTCAGAATACAGTATTTCTGGAGTTAGTTCACTTTTAGATTTTTTGATGTAGAATATCGGTATTACATATATTTCTTTTTTCTAGTTATACAACTCTAACTGTGAACCAGATACAACATGGCACAGTAAAATAAATAGATTTAAAAAAAAAAAGTTCATTTTTAGCATTTTTGCAGATCTTCAAACTTTGGATCAATTACTCTACTATTTGAGACTGGTTGGTATGAAGCCGGCAACTCTTTTGCTTATGCATGACATCCGATTCTTTTTACAAGCTGCCTAAAAATGACTGCAAGGAAAACTAAACCCGAACTCGACTTTCGAGACCGAACCCGAAACCGAACTCTGAAACCGAAACCGAACCCGAACCCGAACCCTGAAACCGAACCCGAACCGGAACCCTGACACCGAACCCGAACCGAACCCGACCGAACCCGAACCCGAACCCGAAGCCACCGAACCCGAACGTTCGGGTTCGGTGCATGCCTACGCACATCCCTATATGGCGAATGAAGCTATTATATATATATATGTATGTTCATTATATGAAACCTGGTCGCTAAGGTCTGTAATGGAGGCCTACATTTCTTTGGTCTGTAATGGGAGTCTGTCTGTAATTGGGGGGGGGGGGGGGGGGGGTATGTCTGGAATGTTCTCTTCCATTGCTATGGTTTGTAATGGGGACCTGTCTGTAAGGGGAGTGGAGGGGAAGGGAGCCGCGAAACCTTGAACTTAAAACTTACACTCACTATTTTCTTCGAAAATATACGTGAGTTCCACAAAAGTGTGATTTAAGCTACATTTTGACAAAATTTGAGTCGAGATTTTTGTGAAAATTGACGAAAATACACATAGAAAAAAAAGTCAATCCATAATTTTCTATGAAAAGCATCTTTCGTTCTGATGATTTTTATACAAATCGATGCTCCAAGCATTGCTCTTTCCAATGGTGAAAACCGCAGCCCTATATCTTGTACTGAGAGAAAGTTATTCAAAAAAAGACAACCTGCCTTTTATTTTGGTTCGGCCAATAGTCAAAATAATCATGATCTAAAATGATCCTAAAACAGATTAAGTATTCAACTCAAAATTTTTCGAGCAAGTAAGACGTATAAGTTAAGCTAGGGCAAAAAAACGTGTGTTCTTTTATCAATTGTCTTTTCTTTGTAACATCATTTATATATTTGTCTCCATGTCTTTGACTCATCAAAACTCTTTTCAGAATAATTACATGTCACCTTTCGATTAACATTTTGTGGACTCTTGCTATCGTTTTGTATTACTTTGTTGATGTCATTTCTATTGTGTAATTCAAGATTATTTATGATTATACTTGGTAAGAAGTAAATTATTTTACCTTAGTAAATAGTAAATAGTGTCCTTGCTTGAAAGTGAGGACCTTTGTTGGCATTTACCAACTATGACGAAAATATATATAAAAAAAAGCACAATAAGTCACTTAAGTTTTCTCCTTGATTTAGTTTTTCTTTTATAGTAATATTTTGTGTTCCCATAGAGGCATGATGAGAAACAGAAGAAAGTTGCTTTAGACGTTAATTCTATTCGTTCTGATTACTTTTGTATAGATTTGTGTTGAGTTTTGTATATTTCCGTTTTCTTCATTTTACATCGGTACAAGAATGTCAACGACATCATGGCTATCAATGCTACTATTATCTCTTTTGCTTGTTCTGAACTCTACATGCATAACGATTCGACACCAATGTCCAGCTAACTGTAAAATTTACAACATGAAGCGTAGTTCATTGAATCGTCTTTTTCAAGAATGCTCAACTACTGATACATTTGTCAAATGTTCAACAAGTATCTGGCTCAATGCAAATGGTACTTTGCATGTAGCCTTTGATGGTGATTCGTCGGAGCAAGCAATTAATGAGAGCATAGTCGCGGACGAACCTGGTCTATTTTTCTATCATCATACACAAGTCACATTCTATGCAAATGCTACAGAGATACATGTCTATGTTCGAAAGTCATGTTTCGATCGAGACGATTGTTCTCGAGAGTTTGCAAAACAAATGGGTGATCAATTACTTGGCTATCAATATGCGATACTCAGTCAACAGTTACGACCTCTCATTTATGATCCACAAGCTAGAAGCGAATTCGAATTTTCCACAAAAAATCTAACATGTCTGATCGATAATAATGCCACAATTGGGCCTTGCAATACTAGCTGTTATTATATATTAGGATTTTCACAAGAACAACATAGATGCTGGCCAAGTACATTGGTAGGTCTTCATGTTTACACTGAAAAAGCTCTGCCAGCACCAATCAATACAACAATTTCATTTGACTACAGTTGTAATACACGCACAGCAATCTGCAATGGTCCAGAGGTAAATCGTAATATTACAGCGATTGTCAATGACTTTTTTCGGAATCCACCTTATACTCGCTCGAGTGGAAACTGTAATACATACCGATTTACTTTTCCAATGCTGGTCATCATCTTCTTTTCTTATGGTTTGCGAATGATGTAATCATCCTCAAATCGAATGATATATTTGAACTGTTAAGCAAAATAAATGGCAACCTAATGTGTTCTCGTAAAGCTCTACTTCTGTTTTTCTATGTTCTTTTCCATTTCAAATCGGTTCATGGAATAAATCAATAGGACAATGTCTTATGTCGGCTTGTCAAACAGAAAGAACAAGGAAAATAAACCTTATCTCTGAAATTATAAGCTATTGTTCAAAACTAAAGTCACGTTCATTGTATATTCTAGATAAATCATCATGATATCACCATTAACAACTCTTTTGTATTTGGTCATGATATTCAATTTCATTTGGACAGTGATCACACACAACGGTAAGTGTAAAGTCTAAAATTGTATCCTTAACCAAATGAACATTTCTAGAGTCGCCTTCACATAATTGGTCAATATTAAATCATCCAGTAGAGCCAATTGTTGAAACGCCACTGCTAAGAGTGAGTCACCTATATCCGGGAGCAAAAGTGATAGATTTTGGAGGAAATGCAATCGGGTTGACTCCAGGTGAAGGTGAAGCATTTGACTTTCGAAAATATCCATATCGCATGAAACTAGGAGCAAAGCAGACCAATGGTCATATGATGATTATGGAAGGTACTCTAATGCCAGGAGAAGGTAATAATCATTAAATAGATTGATTTATGCTACTCTTCATTTTATATAAAGGCACACAGTTACATCTACATCAATTC